AAAGAGGTCTCTAGGTAAATACTGTAGGTTTCACCGGGACCATGGACATAACACAGAAGATTGTTTCGACCTCAAAAACCAGATCGAGAACCTTGTTCGTAAAGGTCATTTACGCAAATTCACAACTGGAAATGGAAAAGGAGGCTCCAACCCTGGAGGGCCGAGATGATCGCCCTCCTCAACACCAACCAATGGGTGAGATCAAAGTTATATCGGGTGGCTTCGCTGGTGGTGGTGAGACGAGTTCGACTCGGAGGGCTCATGCTAGGAGTATTCGGAGTTTTTCAGAGGTGGATGAAGTTGGAATGACAAGTCCTTCAACAAAATTACCTCGAGTTGAGGAGCCGGTCATAACCTTTTCTGAAGAAGATGACAAGGGAATTCACCAGCCCCATGATGACCCCCTGGGCATACGAGAAATTGAAAATTGGCCGAGAGAAGCTCCGACCCATGAAATCACCACTGGTGGGATTTTCAGGCGATAAAGTACATCCACTGGGGGCAGTTACCCTTCCAGTTACTGCAGGAGCCAATCCAAAGCAGGTCACTGTAATGGTGGACTTTGTAGTGGTGGACTGCCCATCATCATACAATATTATCCTGGGGAGGACAACATTGAATGCCATGAAAGCAATCACGTCCACTTACCATCTCCTGATGTGCTTCCCAACTGAATATGGTATGGGAGAGCTAAGAGGGGACCAAATAATGGCTCGCGAATGTTATGTCGCCTCTCTTAGAAAAACAAAATCGTAAGAGGCATTTACGATTGAAGGGCTGGAAGGGAAAGATAGACCAGACTTTCATAGAGCGGAACCTACAGAGGAGCTAGAAGAGGTCATCCTTGGTGACAGTGAGCCCGAGAAAAAAGTAAGTATATGGTCTTTACTCCCCCCAGGTATCAAAGATAAACTTACTCAATTCCTCAGGAAGAATCGAGACGTATTTACATGGGTCCATGAAGACATGCCGGGTATAGACCCCACTATCATGGAGCACCGCTTAAATGTAAATCCTGACTTTAAACCTGTCGGACAAAAGAGGAGGACTTTCGTTCCAGAAAGGAATCAAGCTATATCAGAAGAGGTGGAAAAGCTCTTAAAAGTCGACTTTATTCAAGAGGTGTACTACCCCGACTGGCTGGAAAATGTGGTCTTAGTGAAGAAGGCAAATGGAAAGTGGAGGCTATGTGTGGATTTCACCGACCTTAACAAAGCTTACCCGAATGACAGCTTTCCTCTCCCAAGAATCGATATGCTCGTTGAGGGAACGGCTGGACACGAACTATTAAGTTTCATGGATGCATATTCTAGATACAACCAGATATCTATAAACACCTCAGATAGAGAAAAAATGGCCTTCATCACTGATAGAGGTTTGTACTGTTACAAAGTAATGCCGTTTGGGCTCAAGAACGCTGGTGCAACATACCAAAGGCTAGTGAATGCAATGTTTAAGCATCAAATTGGTAGAAACATGGAGGTATATGTTAATGACATGTTGGTGAAAAGCTTAAAAGCTGAAGACCATTTGACTGACCTGCAGGAGACCTTCGAGGTACTTAGGAGGCATAAGATGAAACTCAACCCCAGCAAGTGTGCCTTTGGGGTTTCCTCAGGAAAGTTCTTGGGATATATGGTAAGTAGAAGAGGAATTAAGGCCAATCCAGAGAAGATCCGAGCAGTCATTGACATGAGATCGACAAGATCAACCAAGGATCTACAATGACTAACAGGGAAGATTGCTGCCTTGAGTAGGCTAATCTCTCGGTCAACTGACAAGTGTCTACCTTTCTTTCGTGTGCTAAGGAATGCATTTGAATGGACCCTAGAGTGTGAGCAGGCGTTCAAAGAACTAAAGTAATACCTTAGTTCTCTCCCACTACTGTCTCGAACCATACCGGGAGAGGAACTATACATATACCTTGCAGTCTCCACGACAGCTGTCAGTTCAGCTCTGATACGAGAAGAAGAAGGGTTCCAAAGGCCAGTATACTTCGTGAGCAGAGCACTTAGGGGTGCGGAGGAAAGATATCCAAGGATGGAACAGTTGGCCTTTGCTTTAATTGTGTCCGCCAGGAAACTGAGACCATACTTTCAAGTGCATACGATAGTGGTCCTAACAGATCAACCCCTTTGACAGGTCCTACACAAGCCAGAAAGCTCTGGTCGACTGATGAAGTGGTCAGTAGAGTTAGAAGAGTTCGACATTCAGTATAAGCCAAGAACAGCAGTAAAGGCTCAGGTGTTGGCTGATTTCTTAGCTGAGTTTACCCCTCCAGAAGAGGAAAAACAACCCCAATTTTCGACAGAACCAGGTTTAAGTGAGTAGATGGGCCCAGAAGTAGTCTGGGACTTGTTCGTGGATGGGTCATCTAATGTTCAGGTTAGCGGAGCCGGGCTTGTTCTTGTCTCCCCAGAGGGAGAAAGTATACAGTACGCACTTCGGTTTGGTTTCAACGCAACCAACAACAAAGCAGAGTACGAAGCCTTGATAGGAGGATTAAAAGTGGCAAATGCCCTAGGGGTTAAGCAATTACACCTACTCCGAGCTGGTCGCTGGACAAGTTCAAGCGGAATATGAGGCACGAGACGAGAAGATGAAAAGTTACCTACAAAAGGTGAATGAATTAAAGAATCACTTCCAAAGATTCTCAATTCATCAAATACCACGAGAAGAGAATGGGAAAGCAGACGCTTTAGCCCGGCTAACTACTGCATTGAACCTGAGATCAATAAGAATATACCACTGGAATATTTGGACGAACCATCTATATCTCAGGAGAGACAAATTGAAGTGCAACAAGCGATATTGAGTGTGGAATGGGCAGATCCTATCATCAGATATATCAAGGATGGGGTGCTACCAACAGACCGAGCAGAAGCTCGAAAGGTCAAGATGCGGGCAGCTAGGTATACGCTTATCAAAGGGGTGCTCAACAAGAGAAGCTTCTCCATGCCGTATTTACGATGCGTTTCTAGCGAGGAAGCTGACTACATTTTAAGGGAGATCCACCTAGGAGTTTGTGGAAACCATGCTGGGGGTAGGTCACTTGCTAACAAGGCCATCCGACTAGGATACTATTGGCCCACCATGCAGAAAGATGCACTTGACTTCGTTTAAAAGTGCAACAAGTGTCAATGATTTACCAACATCCCGAGACAACCGTCAGAGGAGATGACTCCCATGTCAAGACCATACCTCTTTCCCCCTTAAAAGAATGAATGGTCAGCTTCATCTACTTCCCTCGTAAAAAGATGAGGGGTTAACTACTTTCCTTGTTAAAGGGTGAGCTGAGTGAAGCTCATAGTAATCTACTTCCCCTGTTAAAGGGTAACCTAGGTGAAGCTCGTATTAATCTACTTCCCCTGTTAAAGGGTGACCTGGGTGAAACTCGTATTAATCTACTTCCCTTGTTAAATGGTGAGATGAGTGAAGCTCATAGTAATCTACTTCCCTCGTTAAAAGGTGAGCTGGGTGAATCTCATAGTAATCTACTTCCCCTGTTAAAGGGTGAGCTGAGTGAAGCTCGTATTCATCTACTTACCTTATTACGAGTTACATGAAACTCGTCTTAATCTACTTTCCTTACTAAAGGGACGAGCCGACTAAAAATGTCAATAAAATCAAGTATAAAATAACGGTAGCATGTCAACAGGGCAGCTTGCCAAATAATGGGAGCATGCCAGCAGGGCAGCTTGCCAAATAAAGGCAGCATGCCAGCAGAGCAGCTTGCCAAATAACGGCAGCATGCCAGTAGGGCAGCTTACCAAATAAAGGCAGCATGCCAGCAGGGCAGCTTGCCAAATAAAGGCAGCATGCCAAATAACGGCAGCATGTTAGCATAACAGCTTGCCAAATAAAGGCAGCATGTCAGCAGGGCAGCTTGCCAAATAAAAGCAGCATGCCTGCCAGGGCAACTTGACAAATAACGGCAGCATGCCAGCAGGACAGCTTGCCACGGCAGCATGGCATGGCAGCTTGCCACGGCAGCATGGCATGGCAGCTTGCCACATAACGGTAGACTACCAGCATGGCAGCTTGCCACATATACGAGCTGCCAATGTGGCACTACGACAAATATACAAGCTTGCCAATATACGACAAATATACGAGCTTGCCACATATACGAGCTGCCAATGTGATACTATGACCCCCGACTGTATTCGCGAAATGACAATATAAGTCAGGCTAATGGACAAGGCTCTGCAATTCTAATTATATATTATTGTGTGATATTTTGGAATTAACGTTCCGGTGGTTTGACAAGCAATCCTCCGAAACGGGGGGCAACTGATGGATGTATAATTTAAATATCCATAATTAAGGGAAGATTACTAAATTAACGCACTATTGAGATAGGCTCTGCAGACTACGATAAGGATTACAGATTGAGATAGGCTTTACAGATTACGATAAGAATTAAAGATTGTGATAAGGATTAAATATTACGATGAGGATTAAGTCTACAGATTACAATAAGGTAATTCTACGTGACATCTTAACCTAAGCCCTATAAAAAAGGCGAGAAATTAACGTTTTGAGGTACGCAATAAACTCTAACTCAATTTCTCAATTTCTCCAGGGAGATTATCATTCACACTGACTTGTTCGTCGGAGCCTAGGATCACTTTTTTTCTCTTTATTCAGGAAGTCAGATTAGATTCAGGTTGCGCAGAATCCATCATCAACACTTATCATTTTTTATTGCCGAGTTTTAGTTTAAAAAAAAAAAAAAAAAATTGTAGTGATAGTTAATGAATTATCAAATTATTCATGAGTCCATAAAGAGAAGTTATAAGTTTTTATACAAATGGTTAAATTGGTAATATTATTATTATTATTATATATATATAATACAGAATGTTTTCTTTCAGACATAAAAAATGGAAATGCGAATTATTATTATTTTTTGGAGATAGAGGGATTAATTTTTTTCCCATTTAGGTAAACTATTTAATTTAGTTTATTAAAAAACCCCTTACTTTTTGATCCAAAAACCCAAACGTCCTTCTGCCATTTCATTTTCTCCTCTTCTTCTCCATAAACACATAAACCCTAAGAGAGATGTCAGACCTTCCGATGGATGTAACCGCCGACATACTATCACGATTACCGGTAAAATCCCTTCTGCGGTTCAGGTGTGCATCTAAACCATGGTGTGCTCTCATAGACAGCCCCGATTTCATCAAATCGCATCTCAATCGATCCATCGAAACCAACACTAATCGCAGCATCATCTTTGGAGTTGAAGATCTCTACTCCATAGACTTGAATTCTCTCGATAATGCCGTAGAGCTTGACAATCCTATGAAGAATGATGAAGGAACTTCACTGGTGGTCTCTTTCGATGGCTTGGTTGTTTTGTGCAAAAATATCTATGAAGACGTCACTCTGTGGAACCCTTCCACTCGAAAACACCGCAAGTTACCGGTCTCAAAGGTTCGGTTCCCGCCTGGATTCCGCATTATCGTTATTGTTTTCGGGTTAGGGTATGATTCTGTCAATGATGACTACAAATTGGTGAGGATGGCACAGTTTGAGGGCAAAGATTATGATTCGTTTGATTCTGAAGTTGAAATTTATAGTGTTAAATCGAATACATGGCGAAGGGTTCAAGATTTCCCTTATTACTTTCCACTCCAGGGTTCACCTGGTGTGACCTTTAATGGGGCTGTGCACTGGGTTGTGACTCGAAAACCCAAGTCCGATACGGCCAATTTGATTGCTGCTTTTGATCTAGGACTTGAGGAATACCGGTTGGTGCCACAATCTGATTTTTTTGATGAGAATGGTTATTTGAATGTTGCTGCCTTAGGAGATTGCCTTTGTGTTGTTTGTAATTATGGTGGAGTACGAGCTGATATATGGGTAATGAAGGAGTATGGAGTAAAGGAGTCTTGGACTAAATTGTTTGCTATTGCTAAACCAAGTGTGATTAGGTCATTCTTTTATGTGAGTCCTTTGGCCTATTCAATGAGCTGTGGGGAAGTACTTTTGAAACTGGGCGGTGGAAGGCTTTTCTGGTATGACATAAGAAAGAAAACACTAAAAAAAATTCAGATTCGTGGTTGGGAGAGTTTAGTACGAGCTAATCTTTGTGTTGAAAGCCTTGTTCGGCTTCATGGTGATGGTAAAAAGGATGGTAAGAAGCAGCAAGCACAAAAGAAGACGATGAAGCAAAACAGTAGAAAGAAGAAGTAAGTCATTGTGTTCTTATTGTTTGTTCTGCCTAATTTCTTTATTGTTTTTTTATAGACGTTTTGATCCTTCAAATGAATTGGCAAATATATTTCTTGAAATAAGAGTTGGTCTCTTTAATGTTGTTTGTTTAGAGTACTGTTGTGTTTAATCTAGTTCCATTGCAACTGCTAAGGCTAGTATAAATTTACCAATGGGAAAAGCTATGATGAGGACACACTCATGTGAGTCCTAGTCCTCAGCCATTGCATTTAGTTTGCTTTGATGCCACACACTTGGTCCAACTAGTGAGTTCATGATGAGAGCACTATCATTATATACATTTCTTTACCATTAGGTGACAAATTGTAATGCACATATAGCGGACTTTTTGTATACTTCAAATTTGGCTGATACTTTACATGTTGTTCCTCTTAGAGATGATTTCCTGTCAAAGGGTTTCAAGCTGGTGCTTTAAGCAACTGGAAGAGCAAAGGAGCGGAAGGTGCAGATGTAGGGTAATATATTTTGGTAGTATTTTTCACATCAATACTTTGTTTAGTATTTCTTTGCTTTTGCTTTAATTTGATTATATGGGCTAGTTTAACTTTAATGGTATTCTATTCAATCATAGAAACAGAGATGAGATTGAGTGTTTGATGCCATAGGGTTGGGCCAGATGAGAAGGTCCAATATTTTATAAGCACTTACTCTATCATGTTTCTCTCAAGGAGTCGAGATTGATGCTGAACTGATGGGCCAGAAATTAGGCATATTAGAAAGTCTGGTGATGTATGGAACGAAAGAAAGAAGCCTAAAGATTTTGTCTTGCAATATGCGGTATTTTCTCTCTGTTGAAACAATTTTCTTGTAGTTAAAGATCTCGTTTTACTTCTGAAATTTATAGATGGTGTGGTTTCGAGAGTTGTCACCTTAAATGTTGGCATCCTATTTGGCTCCTTAAAGCTTGCTTAATCTTTTGTGAGTTTAATTTTCACTGATGACCTTTGAATTTGAATGAGGTGTAAAAACAGTGTCAGGAGACTAAGTAATAGATAATTGCTGTTGTTAGTATTCATTCAAGTTTATTACTCCGTATTAGTCATTGGTTTGTGCCTTTTAAATTAGTTTTGCTGGGTTTTATGGGAAAAAGGGAATGTGAATGGCCTTTTGTGGATTGGTGAACTCTCCATGGCGGGTCTGATTATCTAAGAAGTAAGAATGGGTGTAAATTCATAAACGAGAGCTGCTATTGGCGCTCCATCTATATCCTCTTGTGCTCCACCTTTTTCTTCATTTGTTTGAAATGACAAAAACACCCTTCCTTCCTCAATGTTACTAGAGCGGGTGGTTTCAGGATTGGTGGAGGAACTGACGGAGTAGAAGTCAGAATTGGTGGAGGAACTGACGGAGTAGAAGCTAGAACTTTCTTCCAATGCCTTGATGGCTACCGTCCTGTTGACTCACAATTAGCTTTTCGGCATGGTCTTTCTGGTGACAAAACCCACCAAAGCTTACAATTCCCAAATGCATACCCGGTTTGTCTAGTCCATAATTTCAAGGCTTTGTAAGCAGTGATTCCATCACAAAACGGTAGAGTACATGAACCAACTTTTCACCTCCCTCCTAGTATCTCCAACTTTAAATTTTGTCACCTTGCTTCCCACCTATGCCACTACAATTAAAGAGTCTCATGCTACCCTGATACAAGACTACCAAGCTGATATTTTTATTTTTTAATTATCGAAAAAAAAAAAAGAAAAAAAAAGGGTCTTTCCGGCTTAGCATTGAAGGCCAAAGGAAGTTGAATTTCACTTATTAGGCAATGGGGTAGATGGAGTGGTAGAGAAGCCTCGCTGCAACGAATTCCGGAGTCTGACAGTCAAACTAAGCGGCAGAGAAATACGTATAGATACTAAACGAGTTGGTGAACCTGAACTCGGAGTTGAGGAAATGGATTCACAGCCCTTCCTCTCAAAATTCTCCTCGGTACAACCTCAAACATTCTCCTCCGCACAAATTGAGCTCTCTCAACTGCCCAAAGACCCTTTGGGAGAGTAAAACTAGTCATCATCTTCGTCCCCCATCATAACCCACACCTGATCAATTTTTTTTTTTTTTTTTTTTTGGGTTGTAATTCTGAGACAAATGTTGCCCAACCGAAGAGGGTAGAGCTCGTAACCACCACCTCCATTATTTTTGAACCAATGCGAGCATCTATGTCACCGCGTGAATCACCACTTCTACCCATTTAAAGAAACTCGGAACTATTCAATCTCTGAGCATATTGCTGTAACAATCCACTTATTGTTAGGGGATGTAATAGTATGCATACAGAGTGTATAGCCCCGTTCTAAAAAACCCTTAATATATAATCTGGATGATGAAAATACTTAAGTGTCCCTTTATAATTGAATTGAAAAAGGTAAAAAATTAATTAAATATGAAATGACTAAATTATCCCTCTTTTAATATATATATATAAGGCCAACATCATTGTATATATATAAAATATATGAGAGCATTATCGAAAGAGATAAGGGTATTATCGAAATTTCATATCTTAATAATGACTTCATGCCGTTTCTTGTTCATTTTTCAAACTTAACGGACTTATATACACAACATAAGCTTTATTTATTTATTTTTTCAAACTTAATGAATTTATATACACAACATAAATAATAAGGTTGTTATTTGTCAAAAATGTAAATATTAGGGGTGTTTTTCTAACTTTATCCTTTGTTAAATCAATACAAATATTGTATTTTGTTTGCACAAATTTTTGGATAGTACAGCATCATTAATTTAGATTTGTGTGAATGTTAAAACCTAGGAAGCACAGATACGAACACAAAACACGGGTACGAGAAGATACGGACATGGCATTGCGACAAATTTTAAAAAAATAGAACACGGATATAACATGGATATGAAAATTTTCAAAAAAATAAGATACGGATACGACATAGATACGTCAAAAAATAATAATATAATATTTTATTATATATAAAAAAATAATCATTTTTATTCATTTTATCCGCATAATCATGAATGAAAGCACTAATTTGAAGTTTAGAAATAAATGTTTGTTATAATATATTTTAAATTGCATTGAATTTTTATTTTCTAAAAAAAATACAAAATCATGCATCTGTGCGTTGGAAGTGTCCTTACCGTGTCCAATCAAAAAATAAAATATTTAAATTTCAAAATACTTTTAACCGTGTCCAATCTGTGTCTGCATGTCCAAACAGTGTCGAACACCTCCAGTGCACCGTTCTTCCTAATTTAGAAGTACGTGATGGCACTAGTGATCTTGCAATAGAAGATCTGATCTTGGCTGGCATGCTTGCTTTATTATGTCGTTTATTCTCTTTGTATTTTCCCTCTTCAGCTCTATTAATTAATGACAATGATTTAATATTTGGTAACTGACAAATTGAATGAGATATTCTAATTTAGGCGAGGGCGACTCTCAATGTGCTCATGCGTCCACATGATAAAAATGGTCCAAGTCATGACGTAATTATATATATATATATATATATATATATATATATTGTCAAAAAAACTCACACACTATTTTTTTTTTTTGGGAGAAATTTAAACCCCAAATATTATATTTTAAAATATGACTAACACATTTGACAAATGATTTTTTTCTTTTTCTTTTCCCTTTTAATAATGGGAAGATTATTTTAGTTTTCAAATATATAACTACAGCCTTTGTGCGAAGCCTAGGCTGATCAACTGAAAGCTTAGATAAATTCATTTACGATTTTTTAATTACAAGTTCTGTGAAATACTTCTTTATCTTAACAAAAATTGATTTCTTGCATTTCATTAAAAATTAAAAATTGATGATTGCTTCGTCAGAAAAGTAAAGTAATGAGATTTAATATATTAACCTATACAATCTTCCTTTATTTTGTTTTGTTGGGTTGAAAATGATTAATGCTAAATAAAAATGTTTGAAAAGCTGGAATTCGTTTCTAAAAATAAAGAAAAGTGAATAATATTCGAAAAGAGAACTGCTTTACAATTTGACTTTAAAAAAACTAACATACATGGCTATCTATCCATGGGCCGTTTTGAAATCAGAATATAGGAGTTATATAGCCTAGCAACTCTTTATCTCCATTCTTCTCTTTTGCAACCGAAGAACCTGGCTTCAAGAAATTCACAAATACGTCAGCAAACCGACCAGATTGTTTTTTTTTTTTGGAATTTAACCAACCAGATTGTTGCAATGAATGTCAGATGATGATTCATATTCAAGTTTGTTTTGTTCATAGAGCTGAAATATCCATAGAATCTCAACACTCATTAGTAAATTGCATAAAAAAAATGACAAAATTAGAGAAAATTAGGGTTTCAAAGAGGCAAAACATAATGAAAATTAGTAATTTGGGTTTGACTAATACATAAGAACCCCAAAATTCAAGATTATTTTAAAATCAAAACCGAAATTTTTTTTGAGTCATCGGAAGGAAGAGAATTGGGTCAGCAGAAATTTTTATACAGGATCCAAATCATGGGTTTTGAATCTGCTGGCAGGGATTAGGGTCTTGCAAGTGATTTGATGAAATTTATTGACATATTCAGAGGAGTTACTAGGAAGAAAAGAGAGAGGAGAAAGTTGTGTGCGACTGAGAGAGGGACATGCAATGTCAATAGGTTGAGTCGGTTATTTGTCGGTCAAAATTAGCAGTTCAAAATATTATTTTCCTTTTCGGTTTCAATGAGAGGTAATATGCTTTTTAGAGGAAATGTGGGGGAAGCAATGGAATTATTACATTCTAAAAGTTGCCCCGTTAGGACCACAAAGCGTATTGACGAAAAAAAATAAATAAATAAATAATGGCTCAAGTGCAATGCGTACAGTCATCAATTTCTAATATAAATTATTTCTTAAGCTAAGGAGAAGGATAGCAAGGGTCTTGTATTATTTCTGAAGCTAAAGAGAAGCATACCAAGTGTCTTGTGTTTCAGTGATTTTTTTTTTTTTACTTTTCAAAATAAATGGTGAGGGCTTAAATCAAATAAATAAAGTAGTGGGTTTGAGTTTTTTGTCAATGACACAAGAAAAAAAAAAAAAAAAAAAAAACAAAAAAACAAAAAAAAGAAGAAGAAGAAGAAGAAGAAGGTAAGGACAAGAATATATATATTTTCCTCCATAAATTCATTAATTTGGTTGTGAAATGATAAAATACAATAATTTTTGACATTTTAATTTAATATTAAATAACAAAATTTTAATGTTAAATAACAAGATCTATTAGTTAACGGTCATTAACTTGATGACTTTTTTTAGTTAAGTAATTTTTTAAATTTTACATGGGTTTTATGCACAAATTTAGAAGTATGGGAATTTTTTTTATTTTAACCCAAATTTAAAAAACTAACAAGAATATGACACTTTTTTTTTTTTTTTTTCCTAAATAAGAATATGACACTTACCAATATATATATATGACATAAAAAATAAAAAATAAATAAAAAATAAAAAACACTCATGAGGCTCGTTTATTCAAATGCACTAGAACAACAAAGCACGAAATAGGTTTTATTGGTTTCAAACAAAAAAAAAAAATTTAAAAGTATTTAACTTTACATTTTGAATGATATGTTTGGTTCGAAGAAAATATTAAGGAAGTAAGGAGATACAAAACATCCCATATATATATATATATCAATTTTTCCAATAAATTAGTTACAATTTTTTTTTTGTTAAATTCTACTTGGTACTAAAATTTTATCACACGTGTAAGAAGAGTATATTGACTTCATTCCAACCAAAAAAGGAAGAAGAAGAAGGAGGAGACTTCATTCCAACCAAAAAAGGAAGAAGGAGGAGGAGGAGGAGGAGGAGGAGGAGGAGGAGATAAATCTCCTTTTATTCAATTTAAAATTATCATTTCTCTTTTTCTTTTTTTTTTCAAAACGGAAGAAAATATTATTATTCTGTCTCATATTAATAGTTGATTATTTTATTTTATTTTAAAATGTAAAAGTAAATAAGTCTTACTTTTTATCATTATACTTTATATTTTTTTTAGGCTTTAACTATAAGTATTTAAACTAAAATAGATAAGTTATAATTTTAAAGGCGATAATACATTAATTGTATGTCGCATTCAAACCTCAATTTCTAAACATGGACAGGGAGGGAGGGAGTATTTGATGGCCTTGTATTGCTGCTCTTATATATAGCCTCACTCCAAAAACCCACCCTTGTTCCGAAACCCCAAACGCCCTTCTACCATTTAATCTGCTCCTCTTCTTCTCCATAAACCCTAAAGATGTCAGACCTTCCGGTGATTCATTTGATTCTGAAGTTAAGGTTTTTAACTTCACGACGATGATTCATTTGATTCTGAAGTTAAGGTTTTTAGTCTGAAATCCAATGTATGGCGAACGGTTCAAGATTTCCGATATTACCTATACAAGATTTTGTCTGGTGTAACCTTAAATGGGGCTCTGCACTGGCTCGTGACACGAAAACCTGAGTCCGATGGGGCCATTTTGATTGCTGCTTTTGACCTTGGGGTTGAGAAATACCCACAACCTGATTGTTTGGAAGAGGATGGTGATATAAATGTGGAGGCCTGACCTTAGGAGATTGCCGTTGTGTTGTTTGTCATCATTATCGTGGAGTCCAATCTGATATATGTGGAGTAAAGGAGTCTTGGACTAAATTGTTTTCTGTTGCTCAACCAAGTATGATTAGGTCATTCCGTAATGTGAGACCTTTTGCCTATTCAACGAGTACGTGGTGGGGAAGTACTTTTGGAACGGGGCAGTGCAAGGCTTTTCTGGTATATATGACTTGAGAAGGAAAAGAGTAGAAAATATTCAGATTCGTGACTTAGAGATATTTTAATTACTAGAAGCTAAACTTTGTGTTGAAAGCCTTGTTTCACTTCATGGTGATGTGGAACGGATGGTAAGAAGCTGCAGCAAGCACAAAAGAAGATGATGAAGCAAAACAATAGAAACAAGAGGTAAGTCATTGTGTTCTGCCTAATATCCATCTTTATTGTTTTTTTGTAGACGTAAATGCATTTTGATGAATTAGTATTGTTGTGTTTAATCTAGTTACATTGCAACTGCAGAGGCCACTATTAATTTATAACCTTTCTAATACTAGTATACATTTACAATGGAAATTAAAGGCTATGATGAGGACACGCACACTCGCGCGAGTCCTCGTCCTCGCACACTTGATCCAATAGATCCAAGGACATACTTTGCATGCAACTGGAAGGTCGAGTAAAGGAGCAAGAAGGTGCGCGCGTGCAGATGTAGGGTAATATATATTTTGGTATTATAAATCAAGAGACAAGTAATAGTTAATTGCTTTTGTAAGTATGCATTCAAATTTTTCATTACTTATGGTGCTGCTTTGTTTAGATTAATATAGGTGATCGTTCTCATTCATAAAATAAAAAAATAAAAGAAATTTGTGATGGCACTGGTGATCTTGCAATAGAAGGTAGGATCTTGGCTTGGCATTGCATGCTTGCTTAATTGTGTTGTTTTTTATCTTTGTATTTTCTGCCTTCACTTATCTAATTAATGGCAATGATTTATTAGGTAAGTGTCAATTGCATGAGAAAATTTGATTGCTAGCATTTCAAAGTAATATTTTGAAAACTGTGACAAATACAATATTTTTTTCGTTGTTTTATTTGGTTGAGCTGCAAGTGATTAACATTAACCAAAATACTTACTGAAAAAAATATTTAAAAAAATTGTTTGAAAACCTGAAATTGTTACAAGAAATGAAAAAAAAAAAATGTGAAAATTGATTTCACAAAGTAGCTGAGTTGGCAATTGCCCTTGAAACAAAATATATAGTGATGGAGAGCTTAATTTACTGCTATTCAATACTTTCGGTTCCAAAATTAGTTTCCTGTTTTCCAGTTTTGATGTCGGAGGATAAGTTCTTCATTTGCGAAAGTCAAAGTTAAAAAATTATTTCCATTTTCAATGGGAAGTTTACATGAGATATTATTTGTTATCTGGACGAGTACCTCTTCTTATTTAGAAGGCATTTGTGCACCAAAAGAATGTCGTTTTAGCGCATAACACAGAGCCTAAAGCAAGCCCAACTGAGTCCCAACACGGGTTTTACCGAACAAGAGGGGTTAATATATATTGGTAGTATCTTTCACATAAATATTTTGTTGAGTAGGTCTTTTGTCTTTTACATTATATATTAATGATTTGCTATCTGGACGAGGACCTCTTCTTATTTAGAAGGCACCTTTGCACCAAAAGAATGTCATTTTAGTGCACAACACGGAGCCTAAAGTGATAGCTGCTGAGTCCCAACAAGGGTTTTACCAAACAAGAGGGGTAAAATATTTTGGTAGTATCTTACACACATATTTTGTTGAGTAAGTTCTTTGTCTTTTGGCTTTAACTTCATTAGATGGGCTAGTTTAACTTCAATGGTATTCTGTCATATAGATGATGTGATAATCATATAAACAGAATGAGATTGAGTATTTGATGCTATAGGGATGGTGTCTATATGAGAAGATCCATTTTATACTTTACCTACTCTATGATGTTGCTCCCCTGAAGTATCTGAGATGAAAATTCGTGTTTCTCCCAGGGAGTCGAGCAAGATTGGTGCTGAACTGATGGGACAGTAATTGGGCATATTAGCAGCAATTAAGGGGATGGAAGGAAGGAAGGAAAGGAGATTAAAGATTTTGTCTTATAATATGCAACGTACTCTTTCGATATGGTGCCACGTACATGCTTGATCCAATGGATGTGGACATGACTTGTGAGTTCATAGTTAGAGCACTATAATTGTAGAATGTAGACCATTCCTTCACAAATTATAATACACATTTAGTGCAATTTTTGTATACATGGAAGTTAGCTAATACCTTAAATGTCACCATTTTTGTTCCTCCTAGAGATGATTTCCTGTCGAAGGGGTTCAAGCTGGTGCTAAATACTATCTATTATTTGTTGCATTGAGCACCGAGCATACTAAATACTATCTACTATTTATATTCGGTCAACAGTTGAGTTCTTAGATATACCTTTAAAATCTTTTAAGATTTACTAATTACAACTTTTGTGAAATCCTTCTTTAGCTTGACAAATTTTGATTGCTAGCTTTTCATGAAAAAAAACAAAGAAAGACAATTGATATTCTACATAAAGGCAGTCTATAATCATTAGAAAAATAAAGTAACGAGCTATAATATTTTAATTACTGCAAAAAAAAATACAATCTTTTGTTCGGCTGTTTTATTTGGTTGAGTTAGCTGACAATTGCCCTTGGCCCAAAATATATGGGAATTGAGACTAATTAAAGATTTAATGGTTATTTTCAAAAAGATTAAGGTTGTGTTTGGCGGTATAAAATTATAATTTCGTAATTAAAAAAAAATTAATTCAATTTTTTTATTACATTTCTTTAATTCTATCAATTTTAATTTCAAAACTCTTATACTTATCAAACATAACTTAACAAAATTTGTGGAATTAAAGAAATGTAATAAAAAAATTGAATCAAAACATTTAACACCAATTTTCATACTTATCAAACATAACTTAACAAACTTTTGGAAGGATTTTTTTAAAAAATAAAAATTAAATTAAATTAAATTAATGTGGCTCATTTATTCAAATAGACTTATAACACAGACAAAACATGTAATTAGTTTTGTTTGATTTCAGATTTATTGATATTTTTTATTTTTTTCACTTTTCATCTTTAAATTATTATACTCCTATTTTACTACTAACAAATTAGTATTTCCCTCTATTCCACCACCACTTTAAATGCAACCGATACAACTTTTGTTTCAAAACCCTATACGCCCTTCAACATTTGCTCCTCTTCTTCTCCATAGACCCTAAAAATGTCAGACCTTCCTATGGAAGTTACCGCCGACATATTATCACGATTACCAGTGAAACCGCTTCTGCGATTCAGGTCCGTATCGAAACTTTGGTGTTCGCTCATCGACAGCCCTGTTTTTATCAAATCGCATCTCAATCGGTCCATCGAGACCAACGATAATCTCAGCATCATACTCAGAGATTGTTATCTCTACTCCATAGACTTCAACTCGTTGGATCGTGCTATAGAGCTTGACCACCCCTTGAAATCCAATAGTTGTGGAACTGAAGTGTTGGGCTCTTTCCACGGCTTGCTCTGTTTGTCTAACTCAGAGGAAGAAATTGTCCTGTGGAACCCTTCCACCCGAAAACACCGCAAGTTACCGGTCGCACCTATCGAATTCCCGCCTGAATTCACCTTTCCCCAGTTTTTTATTTATGGGTTGGGATATGATTCTGTCAGTGATGACTACAAGTTGGTGAGGATAGTACAGTTTTATGGCATTGATCACGATTCATTTGATTCTGAAGTTAAGGTTTACAGTCTGAAATCGAATTCGTGGCGAAGGATTCAAGATTTCCCTTATTACCTCCTCTACAAGCGGGTGAATGCTGCGGTTGTTAATGGGGCTTTGCACTGGGTTGTGAGTCGGAAACCGGAGTCGGACACAGCCAATTTGATTGCTGCATTTGATCTTGGGGTTGAGGAATATCGATTGGTGCCACAGCCTGATTATTTGGATAAAGATTTTCATATGAATGTGGGAGTGTTGGGAGGATGCCTTTATGTAATGTGCAATTATGTGGGAGAACGAGTTGATATATGGGTGATGAAAGAGTATGGAGTAAAGGAATCTTGGACTAAATTGTTTTCTGTTGAGCAGCCAAGTGTGGTTAACTTGTTTGATTTTGTGAAGCCTCTAGCATTTTCAATGAATGGTGAGGAAATACTTCTGGACCAGGACGGTGTAAGGCTTCTTTGGTTCGACCTGAAAAGGAAAACACTCAAGAATGTTAGGATTCAGGGTGTGCCGAGTTTGTTTGAACCTGAAATGTGCCTGGGAAGTCTAGTTCCGCTCCAGGGTGATGATGGAGAGAAGCAGCAAGCACAAAAGAAAATGAAGAAGAAGGATAGAAAGGGAAGGTAACCCCAAATTAATCTTTTTATGCTCTTTTTGCTCTGCCTGTATTATCTTACTTGGCATTGTTAGTTATAGAGATTTCCATCCCTTAAATGAAATGATCACATATATTTATTACTGGCAATTTGAGTTGTTTTCTTTAATATCTGTGGATTTTAGAAGAGTATAATAATTAGTCTAATAACATTGAATTCTCAACCTCTACCAATAAATTTGCCTAGAGCTGAGAATTATATTGCCTTTGTTTCTTTATACTAATGTCACCTTATAGCTTACGTACTGGTATTTTGATTCTCTTAGAGATGACTTCACTTACGTGCTGTATTTTGATTCTCTTAGAGATGACTTCCTGTCAAAGGGGTTCAAACTGAAGCTTTGAGCAACTGGATGAAGAAACCAACTCAGGAGCGAGAAGGTGGAAAGGTAGGTCATTAGATTTTGGCAGCAATTTTTGAATTAGTACCCGGTAGCATTTGGTATTTTGCCTTTAAACTTGCTTATGTTGGACACTGCAAGTCTAATGGTATTTTGTCTGAAAACTTGCTTATGTTGGCTACTTCAAGTCTAATGGTATTTTGTCTGTAAACTTGCTTATGTTGGCTACTTCAAGTCTAATGGTATGTTGTCTTATAGGTGATATTCTACCTAGTATGGGAACAGTGATGAGATTGAGTAATTAATGCTATAGGTATGGACATATAGGAAGAACAATTTTATACCATTTTACTTATACAACCTTATTGATCCTGTTGCCCGTTCGGCCGTTCTCCGAGGGTTGTTTTGATTCTGTAACAGGGCAGTAGTTGGGAATATTATAAAGTTCGCGGATGGAAGGAAAGAAGGAAGATTTATGGATTTTGTTAAAAATATATTACTTGTTTTTTTTGGTAAAGACTAGTTATGTAGTTAAAAAGACTTCCATCTTTATTTGTGTTTTGAAAGCTATATATACTCTAGTTTTAAGAGTTGGAACCTTATGTAGTTGAATATTTCCATCTTTACTTACGATTGCAGCTTCGTCAGTTTGTTCAATTGTGCATCGGTCTAAATTTCCAATGATCTTTTATTTATATGAGGGGGTGAAACACTGTCAAGAGACAATAATAGGGCATTGTTTATGTCATAATTGCTGCTACTGTTCTTTCTTCTTCTTTTTTCTTTTTTTTTTTTCCAGAAATTAGAATTGCTTTTTTATGGTGTGAATGAAGGTCTGTCATTATTGTGCGTCTCTTTAATTTATTATTGCTGTGTTTTACGACAAGTCTAGATTGGCAAAGTGTCAATGATGAGTATTTGGCAATTGAAGTATTGTTGTAAATTCAATTCTTTTAACTTTGTCCAAATAGGAGTAATAGTTGGGAAATAAGATTTCTATAATCATTGGACTTTTTAGCAGACAACATTTTCGTCATTTTTGTTGATTTCTTTGACATCCAAATATTTTCCGTATTCGTATATCTAATTATTTCATTTGATTCTTTATTGTTCTGTTTTTATATGATATTAAAGTAGTAACATTGCGTATTCTTTTGCCCACATTTTTGTGTAACGGAGAAAGAACTGCCATAATCATATTCTTCTGAAATTGCATTGATCGGTTGTGCCCCCACCCGAAACAAAATGGGGAAAAAAGCTAGGAGAAAATACATTATACTTATCAAAAAAAATAATAATAATTTGAAATACATTTTATGTGAATAAATTATACTAGGCACTGACGGTCAAAACCACTTGCCTAAGTAAAAATCCAGAATATCTATTCGATGGTTGCTGAACGAATTTATCAGGTGGTAGTGTTGGCATGGGTTTAAATTTAGACTCTTTCTAAGAGCAAGATGAACTGGAGCCACTTAGTTGCGTTCTTGTTCTTGTTACATGATGGAAATATGTTTTTGAGAGCTAGCTCTAAATTTATAGAGCTGCTTGAGTTAGTTTTGTTTAAGGTAGTACTCTGATTGTATACCCTTGCTCCTTTAACGTAATTACAGAGGAATGAAAACTTGGATGAAAGTGCGATCTTGCAATTATGAACGCTTTATTTTATTGATTGCTCCCGAAGTTAAATGGTTGCATGATTCATGGCACTTATTCTTGCACTTGCAATATTCAGTTGTATATTTGGTCCATTCTAATATGCCATTGGTCTGAGAAAATACGGTTTTATCTGAATTTGTTAAAACAAAATAAGGTGTACTTTAGATTATATCTGATATTGTTTCATTGTGGATGGGGATCCTGTACAGCCTGTACTATATCGCTAGTGCATTGCCTTACAATTTATATCTGTAGTGCAACTGTTACTGGACGAAATGTAACACTATCAAACAACCATGCAACATTCTTGTTGCATAAGCAATATAACGACACTAGATAAACAACTAATTGTGAATGCTGTCTGGTATCTACCGTTAATATGGTTTTTATAGAATTACCAGTGAGTTTGTTCCATTTGGCATATTCTAAGTGAATCCTGTGGGTCGATGGAGAAATACACACGCACATATATATATATGTATATTAAAACTGTGCTGCTAAGATATATATATATATATATATATATAGATTTCATGAGGAATGGAAATGATCTTTTGCTGTTGGTTTAAGATAGTTTCAAATGGCATGCATATTTTTGTTCATTGGTTTCCTGCTTGGCGTGACTTTGTTTGGGTCTAATATGGGTATCCGAGAAAGGATAAAGTGGGTGTTTGTCGTTTGATTTTATTTCCAAGATCTAATATGAAAGAAATCTGTTATTCAGAAATTGGTCTGATTCGGATTTGATCTATTAAAAAATGGGTTATATAGGTAAGATTTGAATGCATTGGTTGGACTAATATAGGATATTGGATCGAGTTAAATGAGTTTTTTTATGATCTTATTATATACACTGTCTTGAAGAAAACTTTGTATAATGTTGCGTTACATATGTTGTATTGTGTGAGTAGATCCTCTTTTCACAGGACTAGAGACAAAAATCACTCCTGCGGTATTATCATAATCGAGGCTTTAGAAATCTATTTTCGAGGTGATTAGGGAATTCAATTTAAATCCACAATTTCCAAATTTCTGAATTTCTGGCTAATTAAAAAAAATCCAAAATTCAATGTTAAAAAAATTATATTTTAAAGCGATTCTCTCAGAAAAATAAAAATAAAAATTCTTTTGCCTTTTTTTTTTTTTTTTTTGTCTTTGTCCAGAAATTCACAGTGTCATGCATAAACTTGAACTTCAACATTATAGTTTGTACTATAAGGTGATAAAGTATGAGGGACAACAAAATTTGACAAATTGTACCGAGCCTGGCCTAATTGGCCGATATATATATTAAAATTATGCAGCTAAGATTTATCACTGCTGTGCATCCCTTGTGACATGGATTTCATGAGGAATGTAAATGACCTTTGCGGAATTAGAACCGAAAGCTCTCGCTAATTACTTAATGGATATACAAAACCCTAAAAGCAACTAAAGATGACAGATATTCTGATGGATGTAGTTGCCGACATACTCTCAAGGTTACTGGTGAAACCTCTTCTACGTTTTAGGTGCGTATGTAAATCTTGGTGGAAGTGATGAGAAGAAGCTGCAAGCACAAAAGAAGGATAGAATGAACTTATGCTTCTGCCTATGTTATTTGCACTGTTAAAACTTAATCTTATGTTTTGGCAGGATGTTTTAGATAGCAATTTGTATAGCTCATATTTTTGTCTTTAACTTGCCTACATTGACTACTTTTAAGCCTAATGATATTCTTTCTTATGGTATCATATTTTCTTGATTGTTTGATCAAATTTTATCCAATTTATTATAAATTATAGGATCAATTGATTTTGTAAATTTTTTTAATTATGGCTGTATATTGCAAATTTATGTTTATAATTTTCTCCTTAAATTTTGCCTTGTTACATTCAAACTTATAGTCCCCTGTGAATTTTACGAAATTAATGCTAGACTTTTAAAGCCTTGGCTTTGGCTTGGTTAGTCTCAAAACTCATATGGCTGGACTTTTGTGATTGGGGTTAAGGAGTGATAAGTTTCTCTATGAACCCTAAGCTCTCTAATTTGGCTTTTGGCCTACATGAGTTCAAACCCTAATTTTAATATTTCTTTTAACGCTCTCTATATGCAATTTTGTAGAATCCTTGCTTATTTTTACTAATCTCATGTTTTGGGGCACTGAATTAAATTCTGCCTGCATCAGTAAGTCACAGATTGAATGTTGCACCATTTGATTTGCATAGTATTTCAACAAAAATTGATCTTCATCCGTTTACGAAATAATGGGAAAAAAAAGGTTTACCGAGAAAAATAATAATAATAGGAAAAAAAAAAAGAAGTTGGCCAATCCCAAACACAAGCAATGTGATAGTACAATATTTTGATAACTGCAAAGGATGGAATCTTTTGTTTCTTCGTCTTATTGGGTTGAAATGCAAATAAATAACACTAAGACTTCGTTTGTTTCGAAGTAAAATCTTTTTTTAAAATTTTTTTCAGATAAAATATTCTTTTATTTTCACATTTTCGGTGTTTGGCAAAGGTCTACATTGAGATTGAAGTCGAGTTCACCGGGCGGGACATGTAAAATAACTTGTCACAAATTAAAGAATAAGTTATTTTAAATAAATTTTATCATTTTTTTTCTTCGTAAATATTTTACGACAACCAAACACTAATAAATAAATAAAAAAAATTTTGGTGTTTGATTATCATAAAATATTTATTGAAGAAAAAAAATATTAAAATTTAACATAAATAATTTATTCATTAATTTTTGACAAGTTATTTTATATGTCTCGCCTGATGGACTCGACCTTAACCTCGACGTAAATCTTTGTCAAACATCGAAAAAATAAAAATAAAAAAATATTCTACGTCGAAACAAACGGAGCCTAAATACAAATTATTGAAATCACAAGATGCTTTTTAAAAAATAAAAAATAAAATGACAAGATGTTATTTAATGAATGGACATGTAAATTAACCCTAGAGAATGGCTAAGTTGAGATGTTTCTTTGGCAAATTGTTCCTTTGTTGTACAACATACTTGTTGGATCTAATTTTGAGTTGAATCTCAAGGACATATTCAAATTTGACTCATATAACATGGGAAAATGTTTTGCTTTTCAAACACATTGTATATTCATATTTGATATCGAAGTCATATATAATGAAACTAATTTGAAATTATCTAATGACCAGACTATTTAATTGTGCTACTGTTGATCAATTTCTCAAAAATTATTAATCAAACAAATCATTAGACATTTTTTTTGTATTTCAGTTCTATGAAGATAGAAAACTTTATTCTTTCTTTATTTCTTTTTTATCTTTTTATAAAAAGAGGCCATAAATGATTACTCAATTTTTATTTAATTTATAACATGTGGATTCTTGTTTTATCCTTCTTTTAATATAATAAAAATATTCGTTATTTTCTTTTTGTTCACTCTATTTTTTTCTTAAATGTTAAAACAGCCATTTTATCTTCAATTGAGAGAAGGATAAAACAAGAATTTTGGTTCATGTTAAGACAAGAACCAAAATATATTATCCTTTTTCTTTTCTTTTATTACTGATATCAAATTACCATCCTTTTTTATGTTTTAAATTAACTTCAATTGAGAGAAGGCATTCTACTTCGAGAATCAAAAGGGCTATCTTCACACCCTACTTTTGTTAGCCATTTCTAACATATGATGTGGAAGCAGCCATTTTACATCTGTGAACACTAACCATTGCTCCGAAACCCTAACAACTGTTTCAAAACCTTCTTCCATGTAAAACCTATGTTTGGTACGGTGGGAAAGAAAAGCAAAGAATAACATTAGTTATGAGGAAAATAAAATGAAAGAAAAAGGAAGAAAATGATAATTTTAACTCTTTATTGTGTTTGGTTGATTAATAAAGAAAAAGAAAGAAAATGATAATAATCATGTTTGAAAAAAAAAAAAAAAAAAAAAAAAAAAAATTATTTTAGTAAATTTACTATTAGACAATCTTTCAAAAAATAAATTTATAGATTTAACTATGTAATATAAAAATAATTTGATAAAAATATTATCATTCTTTTGAATTCATGTTATACCTTTAACTTATTTGTTAGATAGACAAAAGAAATGTTACTATTTTAATACAACTTAATTAAATTAAAAGTTACCAATAAAACATAAACAAAAAAGATAAACTAGAGAACTGCATAATATTTATGTGACAAACACGTCAAAAATATGAAACAATTATTTCAATAATAAATTATAGGGCTAAATACTCTCACACCCCATGAGGTTTCAATTTATTTCTCTCGTATTAAACCTCAGCCAATTTTGCTAATACATCCCACGAGGTTTGGTTTAATTTGCTCTCATGCTCCTTTTTTTTTAATGATAAAATAAAATACCTAAATTACCCTCCTTTATTTCAAATATATTTTTATTTTTAATTTGCTTCCATTTGCAATTTGTTTCTGATCAGTGGGCAAGGATTGCCACGGTGGGTGTGCAAGGAAGCAACCATTCTTCTTTTCCTTTTGCTTCTTCTTCTCTTTTGTTTTCTGCAGATAGTACAGTTCAATATTAGCCTGTGCATTGAAGTTTCATAAACAACAATATCCAACAATTACATGTTAATCAATGTATAAGAATAAAAGAACCTTAATTATGTTCTCTGTTTTCTCTTTCTTCTTCAGCAATTGCAAGGCTTCCTGCTTCTAAATTTTCATCGTTTCATTTTCTTCCATTTTCAGATTCGCAGCTTCCTCTTCCTTCTTCTGCTTGTAAACCTCCATTTCTTCCATATATTTCTCCTTGTTTTTCTTTGCCATCTACAAGTTTCAATTAAAAAAAAAATTGGTTCCATTAGCAAAAAGATCTTGCTCAGGGCATAAACAAATAAAAAGATGTGTTGGGCATGAAGTAAACCTCTTCATAAGGTTCTCTCTGTTTCTCTGTCATGCTTTTCCACTCTTCACCTGTGATCTTTGCAGCCTGCAAAATAATCCCAAATTCACAAATTAGAATAAAACTAATGGCAAAACTGAAGAATTTGGAGGTTGGGTATCTTCAATTATACCTCCAAAACATTCTTGTTCTCTGCAAGTAACACTAAGCCGCCGCAAGTCAGCCGACCTCACCGTTCCGACCACCGCAGCAAGTTCACGGCCGATTCAGTTCCTCCTTCCCGGCCGATTCAGTTCCTCCTTCACGGCCTTGAACCACTTCTTCTTCTCCTAGGACGTCTCTCCTTTGGCAGCTTTTTCTCCGCCGCTGTCTTCTTATCGGCCTTGGGAGCCATTTTAGAGAGAGAAAACGAGTGGAATTCTAGAGAGAGAAAGAGAGTGCTGAGAAAATTGAAGGAAGGATGGTGAAGTTTCAGAAGGTGGTAATATTGTTATTTCACAGCTTGTTTAGATATATGTTAAATAAAGCTAAGGGTGTAATAGTAAACCCACTTTTATCATACCTTAAAAAAGGAATGTGAGAGCAAAATTAGCTGAGGTTTAATATGTAGGCAATAAACTGAAACTTGAGGAGGTATAAGAGCATTTAGCCCTAAATTATATATACTTCTCACAAATAGAATGCGAGAACAATTATTTATGGGCTTCAAAATTTATAGGCTCATGGATGATGGGCCACTAGAAAATATATATATATATATTTTTAGGGCAAATTATTTCAGCCTCCCCAATTGGCTCCATCTATCTCTCTATTCTCGTTCTCAACTCTAAACTTGCCCTCTCTCTCTCTCTCCACCTGCAAACTACAAAATCTATAAGAATCAGAAGTTCAAAACCCATATATTTCTATTTATCTGTTTGTCTGCAAGAATCAAAAGTTCAAAACCCATGTCTGCATATCATTTCAGATTGTTCAAAACCCATATCTTTAGTTTCCATTGCCCGCTGTTCTAGTTCTGGTTCGCCGTTCGCATGCTTCAGCCCGTCTCTCAACTCTCAAGCTTATCTCCCCCCCCCCCCCGGCGCCCCTTCTCTCTCTCTTTGCAACTGCTAACTTGTTTGTATGAGTTTTGTTTTAATTTTTTTTCTAAATCAACTAATCAAGTTCTGTAATTCTTGTTTTGTAAACTAAAATTTAAAATTAGTGTAATCTTGATTTTGTGTAAGGGTAAGTTTGGCATCAGAAATAATACATCAAGCCTCTTTTTCTCTTTCCTTCTATTTTCTCCCATTTTTGGAAAGATAAAAAAGTTACTATTTATACCTGTGATATCTTTCTAAAACCATCCCTTTTCTTTAATTTCTTCCCTTTCTTTCTAACCATTTATGCCAAATACAATTTTTTAATCACCCTCCATCTCCTTTCATTTCCTTTCCTTTCCTTTCATTTCCTTTCCTCCCTTTCCATTGCACCTAACTGTCCATCTCCTTTCATTTCCTTTCCTTTCCTCTCTTTCCATTGCACCTAACTGACCCTGACGCTTTGTTTGGAATCAATTATTTTAGGATTTGGAAAAGGAATCTAAATTGAAATAGGAATTGAAATTAAAATGAAATTCTATTTATATGTTTGGAACAAATTGGATTTAAAATAGGATTTTGAATAAAAATAATATAATACCATTTTTGCCCTTATTTAAATAATAAATGAAATATTTATTTTATTGTAAAATATACTCCAAAGTTACAGCAAGAATGTAAACAACAAGAATGATTACGTGATGGAACTCTGAAACGTGAAATTTTTTTAAAAAGAAAAAAAAAAACAATTATTAAAGATAATATTGGCAATATTGGCTTATATATATATATATAAATGACTTATCTGTGAATTTTGAAGAATTGGATAATATGATTTTTACTTATAAAATTCTGCTAAAATTTCAAGGTGGTGGATCAATTGTTAAATGCGGACTTTTGGTTATATAATTCTGTATGGTGGTAGATCAAGTTTTGGTTATACAATTTTGTATTGTGGTAGATCAATCTGTTAGAGTATACCAAACAAAAAAAAAATGGTGTGAATTATGAAGGATTGCGTGGAGCATGAGTTTTGGTTATAAAATTTTGTATTATAGATTTTTCAGTACAAGAACAAAAGTGGTGGTGGATTAATCGGTTAAATACAGACTTTTCGTAAATTTGAGAAATCAATGTCTTACCCAAAGTTCCATAACTTTGAGGATCAATATGGTAAATGCAATTTAAGATATGGAAGTAAATAAAAAATAAAAAATAAAAAAATTGGATACGCTCAACACTCAATGGAAAAATATATACACATACATTAAAACAAGAAGGAAAATGTTAGAGATTGAGATATGGTAATATATATTTAATAAGATACGGTTTAATAAGAAGAAGGGTTGGGGAATTAATTAAAGAAGTATATAATTAAGAATATTTATTCAGTCAAATCCCGTGAAATTGCGTTTTAGAATGAAAAAGGTATTTGAAATCTTATAACTTTCAAATCCTATTTGTAATTCTGTGATTCTAAACAAGACAAATCCTATATCCAAATTCATATCCCATCAAATCCAGCATTCCAAAGCGTAAAGCAGGCATACCCAAAAACCTCCTAAGCTAGGAATCAGAACCCTAAAACATTCTTCCAAAACCCTCTATAAGGAGAAATTATTATATATACAAAACCCTAAAAGCAGCGGAAAATGTCAAACTGTCCGATGGATGTAGTCGCCGACATCCTCTCTATTGCTAAAGGGGATGCTACTGCCGTGACCATGTCATTGTTTATGGGTTTGGGTATGTTGTCGTCAATGATGACAAGGTGGTGAGGATGGTACAGTATCAACTCAAAGATGATTATGCATTTGATTCTGAAGTTAAGGTTTATAGTGTGAAATCGAATTCGTGGCCAAGGGTAAAAGATTTCCCTTATTGCATCTGGTACATCTGGTACCTGCGAGTGAATGGTGTTGTCAATGATGACAAGGTGGCGAGGATGGTACAGTATCAACTCAAAGATGATTATGCATTTGATTCTGAAGTTAAGGTTTATAGTGTGAAATCGAATCCGTGGCGAAGGGTAAAAGATTTCCCTTATTGCATCTGGTACATCTGGTACCTGGTGTTTTCATTAGTGGGGCTCTGCACTGGGTTGCCAATGAAAGACCAGCATCATCGTATATGATTGCTGTTTTTGATCTTGGATCTGAGGAATATGAGTTGGTTCCAACGCCTGAATTTTCAGATAAGAATTTTACAATGAATTTGGATGACTTGGGAGGAAGCCTTTGTATGTATTGCGGTTACTTTGACTACCATGTTGACATATGGGTGATGAAGGAGTATGGAATAAAGGAATCTTGGACTAAATTGTTTTCCTTTGTGCAAGGGAGTGTGATCAAGTCCTTTCATTATGTGAAGCCTATAGCATATTCAAAGAACGGTAGAGAATTAATTTTAGGACAGGACAATGCAATGCTTCTTCGGTATGACTTAAAGAAAGAAAAAGTCACAACGATTAAGATTCATGGCCTTCGGTACATTCGCAATACACATATGTGCTTGGGAAGCGTTGTTCCGCTTCATGGTGTTGGTGAAAGTGATGAGAAGCAGCAAGCACAAAAGAAGATGCATAAAAAGAAGAGGTAACCCAAAATGAGCCTGTGCTCTGTCTATATTATTTGCACCGTTAAACTTGTTCTCATATGACATGACCAGATATAATAATTTTCAACCAAGGATGTCCTTTTAATATCTGTGGATTGTACAGAGTAGTGATGTAATCTAGTCACATGCAACTGCTAAGGCCAGTATTGACCATTGAATTACCACCCTCTAGTATTACATATACTAAGAGAGTACGAGGTGAGAATCGTATTACCCTTTTTTTTTTTTCTCTCTTTTTTACTTCTGTTTATGTCACCTAACACCTTATACATTGTATTTTGTTTCTCTTACAGATGAATTCCTGTTAAAGCAGTAACTGGAAGAAGAAATAGAGGAGGAGGGAAAGTTGGAGAGGTAGGTTAATAGATTTTGGCAGAACGTTTTAGATAGTAATTTATAGGTGACGACTTTTTCTTTAACTTGCCTACATTGGCTAGTTTTAAGCATGATGATATTCTATCTTATGGGTGATTTTGTAGTTATGTGAAATTGTGAACAGAGATGAGATTAAATACTTGATGCTAAAGGGTAGGGACATATGAGATATCCATTTTGTACAATTTTACTTATAAAACCTAATCAATTACAGTGCTCCACATAAGTACCTAATATGAAAATTCATGTTTGGATTGATGTTGGACCAATGGGGCTGTAGTTGGGGATATTACAAAGTTAGAGGATGGAAGGAAAGAAAAATAACTGAAATTTTTTTCTTATGGTATCATATATGTTCTTTTTTTGTTAAGTCATGTAATTTAAAGGCATCCAACTTTACTTATGTCTTGGGAGCTATACTTAAGTTTTATGAGTTTGCACCTAGATTGATGGCATGCTTGCTCCTCTTTCACTTTTTAATGTTTAGTGATACGATGTTCACCTAAAATATTTGATATAAATCAGGTTATGAAACAAATTAAACAATGTCAATCAACAAGTAATAAGGTTATTGTTATGTTAGAATTTCTTTTATACAGTATTGATGAAGGTTTGTCATTACCATGTTTAAGTGTGTCTTGAATTTCTTTTGCTGGAATTAATGTTGAGGGGAAGTGAAAGCCTTATTTCTAGATTGGTGAACTGACCATAATATAAGTATGGTTATAAATTTATAACTTTTTACGTAGCCCGGATATAATTTCTCTGATCATTGAACTTTTAGTGGACAACATTTTTCAAATTTTCCATAAATTCCTTTCATCAGTTAGTGCTTATTGGTTGCTAAAAGGCTGAAAAGCATGAAGATGTCAAAAGGCTGTGAAGGGCAATTTATAGTGGAATTTGCCATGCACTTGTTGGAATTTGTTTGAAATTTTCCCAACTAGAGTATGTGCTACTTTTTACCTGTTAGGTAAGCTTTGCTTTACCCATTCTATCCCAATCATGCATCTGTGAAGAACAATTTAGATTGAATGTGGAACCAAGGACTCAAGGTGTAAACCTATTTTTGCGTAGTCGGAGCTTTGTAGGCCTCTTGATTCTTTGTTGACGACTTGAAACTGTCAATGGCTAAGACCTTGATTGGTTTCATATGCTCTTGAATTTTTTGTTAATTTTATTTGGCTGCTTTAGTTATATTTACTGTAACTAGAGACCTAGTCATGGTAGGATAAAATAGCTAGTATGCCTCCCTGGACTATCTGATATTAAATTCTGGTTCTGTGAAAAATGATAATTTGGTTCACGGTTTCTTCCTTTTATGCTCTACAATTTTGAGTTCCAGGAAATAATAGAAAAGAGATAGGAGGGAAAGGTGCAATAAGAACTGCATTTGTAGGATGCATTTTGTATGATGAAGCCAGTTGAGAAGGTAGACTAAGGATGATCATTGGAAAATAGGATTTCTCCAATCATTGGACTTTTTTTAGCAGAGACACATTTTCAGAATTTTATTTGATTTCTTTGGCATCCAAATATGTTCTGAATTTATGAATATCAAATTATGTCATTCGATTTTTTTATTGTTCTATTTGAATTTAAATTATATCCTTTTATGGTTAAATGATACTATACCAGTAACATTGCATATTCTTTTGCCCATATTTCCGTGTAACAACATCAAAAAGAGGGCTATAACCATTTTCTCCTGAATTCACATTGATTGATTTTGCCCCCCACTGCATACAAGAGAGGAAAAGAAGAGGTGAAAAAAAAATTTTGAAATATAATTTAATTATACTAAGCACCGACGATAAAAACCAAAGCCACTTGGCCAAGTAATCGTCAAGAATATCTATTCTGTGTGTAACACAATAAAATTTTCCTCTTAAAAGTTGAATGCTTTCTGCTTATTTAGTTGATTACTTTGGAACCAATTTGAGAAAATGATTCTTAAAGAATAAAAAGTTCAATTATGGGAATGTCTTTTTAGCTTGTCAACCAAACATAATTTTTTCTAATTCTGGTCATGCATTTCATGAATGGATGATCAAAAGATCTATAATACTCACTTACGTCACGAAATTCTTCTAGAGAGACATCATGGGTCAAAAACAGAATAGGAATAGAGCTTCACTTTTCACCTGGAAGGTTCTTTGTCAACATCTCCTATTTTCTTTCTTTTTCTTGCTTTGTCTGCTGATCCCCTACCGTCTGTTTTTGTCTCATTGTTTTCTTTGACTTGAGGTAAAGGAGGTCTTTTATTGATTTTCAAATCTACTCTCCTCAACACCATTGTCAGCAATGGGGGTTAAGGGATTTGCCATGTGAACAGATCTTCAGGGGCTACTCCTGCTGGGAGAAAGGGTAAGGTTTCAATGTGATCGGACCATGGGGAGCAGAACTCATTTCACCCCTTTCCTTTACAAATGAAGGATCAAAGACCTTTGACTTTATTACCGAATCGAATTTCATAAATAAACAGACTTCCATGTAAGAGGGGGAAATCATAATGCATTTTAGGCTTTTAGCACGGTTTCAAGCAACTAAACCTGAAAAAAGAAAAGGCTTCACATTGGGTTTTATACAATGTTGTTCACATCTTTGCATCCTTCTTGTTATTGGTAAAGGAGGGATTATTTTATCAACAAGCTTATTTGGAGGAGAAATGGTTGCTTCGTAGTAAGAATTACTATATCCATTTCTTTCTTTCTTCGCTAAGGTGTCGAATCAAGCATGGCACTACTGGCCGCTAGTTCCGACTAAAATAACTGATCATTAGAGTGGATCGGGCGGGTTTCAAGCGAAGTTAACCAATCACAAGTAGGTTTTTTTAGACAGGATTTGAACTTACGCCCAGTCTGTTAACAGCTAACCCACTCTACCACTGAGCTACTGAACTCAACACCCAGCCCGTATAGGACTGGTTAAGGTAACCACATTTGGGCGAAACAGCAACATTTCTATTCTATGCGCATGATAGTTTGTTTGAAGCCACTTGAAAGACATCAATACGTGAATTACCTATAGATGGATTGACTTTGGTTAAACCCAGCCATAGCAGCCATGTTTTCTTGAGGGACCTTCTAGAAGAGGCTGTGCGAGTCAAATAACTTCCATAATCGGTGCATCTACTGTAGTGGTCTTTGCTCTCGTTAAGCAGTCATTTCGCTTCACTCCTTTTCTATTATAAGAAATGAGGATCGTCGGTGTAAGTGATATGGCGACGCCACCTATATCCCCCTTTTAATATAGAATGAAGAAAAACCTTATTTGGCAGCTGAAGCGGCTATTGGGCAAGATACCGAGCCTTTCTTTCCATAGCTTGCACCAACACAGGCGGCTAGTTTCCGTGTAAGAATGGAAATCAGAATGAAATTAAGGCACAAGCACAAGCGTATCAATAATAAAGGAAAGTGCCCCTTTTTATTGAACCTACTGCGAACACAAAAGGAAGGAAAGTCGTAATGACCTGGTCATTTTTCCTTCTTTTCTTTTTTCGGTAATTTTTTTTCGTCTTTTTTCCTATTTCGTCCTTTTCTCGTTTATCATTTTCCTTGCATAACCTTACCTTTTGTGCTTGGATTTGATCTGACTTTGCAAGCATCTATAATAATTGAATTCCAAGATAATTGTATTTTACTTTTGTAGAAAAATATGCTAGATGTTTACTTTTTTTGTAAAGGGTATGGATGCATAACTTCTTGGAAATATTCTTGACTTTTGGAATTTTAATGTAATTATGTAAAATAATTATTTTTCGTCTTAGGGACCATTTTGCAATTTAATTTGGAAGATATTTTGAAAAATGACATTTTTGTAATTTTTGAAAAGTGTGACAAGTGTCACACTCTCATGGTGCCACTTGTTGGCATTGGGGTGGAGTGACTTGGAAGCTTAATATCTTGACATTTAAAGGGTGGAGATTCACCCACTTGTTGGTCTAATATAGGTGCACTTGTTGGCTTGGATGGTTGACAAGTGTAAGTTTAGGATTAAGCCTAGGAAGGAGCCATGGATTGGTGACAAGTGTAGGTTCCAAAGTGAGTCTTGCATTATGTGTGTGAGAGGTAGTGTAAGAACACCTAGTGAGTGGAGGAATACTAGATCCTCTACTCACTATTTTTTCATTTTATGTCATTCATTTCCTTTGTTCTCAAAACCCTAACCTAGCTTTCATTGAAGGAAAAACTTGACTTAAAGCTTTGAACTTCATTTTGGTCTCCTTCCACTCACCTTAGACCTTTAAGCTTGGAATACTTTTGCTTCCTCTCACTCTCCTCTATAAAACCCTAGTTTTGTTTTCCATTGTAAGTTTGGTTGCTTTGGATTATAGAGATTCAATTCTCTATTGAGGTAGGGGGTGTTCTAGTTTATTATCTAAGTGAATTAGTTGTTTTTGTAGTGATGTATAAGTTGTATGCATGTCTTTTAATTAAATTGAGAAATTAATGATTAATGGTAGCTCGCATATAACTCACTTTAGACTTGGTATATGGCATGGTCATGACTTGATCTTTGTTGTATATTGATTTGGCATGATTTAAATGAGCTTTTAAATTTAAAAATTTAATAAACTTAATTTGGTTTAAATTCTACTTAATTGT